AAAACTCCAGCGCTACTCCCCCCTAATTGCAACTCTTCACAAAAGCCACGTTCCCGGATCAATCCCTTCCTCAGTCTCCAGAGAATTCGATTTTATTCGCATAATAACAATCTCCAACATTAGGATAAAAGAAGCTCGGTGAGGTAGAGCCTATATTTGGCAGATCGGAGAAGAGAGTGTCAAATTTGGCACGATTTTTTCAAAACCCATTTATGACACACAGACAGGACTAGTTTCCGCTTTTAAAAAAACATGGTACGTCGAATGAACATCAATAAGGCCTCCAGACGGAAGTCGCAGTCGTAGCCTTGGATTCCTGGGTACCGTTCCTGAGACCCGAGTCAGCTTTCGGCCGTTTCCGATCCGGATATTCCGGTTCGTCTTGAGTTGTCCTAGACGCTTCCGGCTTATCACGGTTCGACGTTTCCTCTTTGGCATCACTGGCATGTTCTTTGGCAACACTGCTCGGCAGACGAAGGTCCGTCGGATGAGAGGCTGGGAGTCCCGCGGGTAGATGTCCTTGCAGATACAGGCGGGAGTAGAGGAACGGATGAGGCAGGAGGCCCGGCGGTAGGTCGAACAAGGTTGGGGGCAAGAGAGGGGTTGGCGGGGGTGGAGGCGGCACACGGAGCGAGGCTCCCAACTGGGCAATCGAGTCTGCGAGGCTCCTTGCGGTGAACTCGGAACTGGAGGATGGTATCCGCGGGACAAAAGCAGACCGGACCGCAGGGCCCGAGGGGGAGGCAGCAGGACTTGACTTCGGACTCGGGCTGCTCTTTCTCCCCGCCGCTATCCCTTGAGATCCTGCACCCGAGGAGGAGAAAAATTAAATATATGCACATATATCATGTGAAATGCCCCACTGTAAAAATTATCTTGCAGCCATAAAAGTACAAACGCCGTGGTCAAGTTGATCGCACTAAATACTAACTTCTCCTCAAGTACTGATGATGCCCCGGATAATCAATAAAAGGTCAAGTAGCTCTCGTGTTAAACGATGAAAAACGCATCCTAAATAACATTTTGTTTCAAATATTCAAAAGAAATCGAAGACCTGATATGGTATGACTGAAAGATTGTCGAGTGATTGTCACCACAGCTTAAATCTACCTCACAAATATCGATCATTCCCAACGTGAAGAGGTCGGAAAGGATACATGTTACAAAACAAGTCGCGATCACGTTCCTGAGAGATTCCTACGTGACTTGTTTGCCGATTAAGCCTTCATACTAGCCATCCGATTTATTTTGAATTTTCGTCAGTTTGCTACAATAGTTCAAACTCGCTTGTGCAATTGATGTCTTTCGATCGGTAGTTCCTTGGTAATATTTATATTCCCTACTATGATTGTAATTTTTGAGATTTCCAATTCATATCAGTAAATGCCGAAATTTATTCTTTTCAATTCAAGAATCGACGAGGTGATTCCGTCCGACTCGTCGTTCTCAATCGGAGAACGATTGAGAACGACCTATTCGCCACATTCGCTAATTCACATAGATTCCACATGATGTTCAGTATTTATACCACTATAATTGCGCATTTTCATCCTCTCTCACGAATACGAATTATTATTTCAGTCTCTTAGGTTTGATATATTGCACACAATTGAAATAGGTGTCTTGCTCTTCAAGATGACTGGGATTGCAACATTCCATTCCGTGCTCAAATGACTCATGTATCACGAATGTGAAGTGGCATTCGACTCGTGAATACCTGTCCGAAGACAAGTGGATCCAGGTGGACCTGCACCTGACAACATGACGCAAATCGACCCCATGTTCCAATGGGTTCTTTTTCTTCGGTCGCAGCTGATAAGACCATTTTCCTCGAAAGTCTTTATCATAGAATATGAATGGGACGCGCAAATACCTCTGCGGACTCGGAGATTAACCTCGAGTGGTTTTTGGATCTATGGAAGCACATTTCCCCGGCACCGGGTGTTCAGACAAGAGTCACAGTTTCTAAGTGCCTATGTCGCAATTTTTTAAGTCCCTAAGTTCAACTAAACTAATCATGCCTATTTTAGGGATACCGTACGAAATGATATTTTACGGGAAAATATACACCCCAGGAAGTCTCCATTCATATTTTATTTTAATTTCGTCTGTGGCAACCCGTTTCATGACATTCTGCATATAATATCGAAATCATTACGAGGCGTCAAGAATAATCGTGGCATATGCAATATAATTTTAAAAATAATAAATAGTGTGGAATAGGGCGTCCCGAGAATTAAAAGAAAGCAAAACGTTGTAATAAAAAAAATTGGCCGTTGAAGACGTTTGTAACCGTCAAGGTGCTACAGCATCGCTTTCCTTCTGAGTTGCTGGAAAGGAGCACTTCGGAGGATACAACATGTGGATGCTACGGCTACGGCTTTGTTTTAGAAAGGCACATTTTGGAAGCCATTATGGCTTACGAATAATATAAGTTCTCATTACTTCTAGAGCTCGGGGCCTCCTCACAGGAATCGAAATCCTTATAATAGGGCATGGCCTTCTTCACCTCTTCACCTTTTAAATAATAAATTAAATTCTACGTGTTTATGAACCTGAAATATGTTACAGTCAGCCAGAAATATTCGAGGCACCCGCTTGTGGTGGAAAGGAGGAAACACACATGCCCGTTATCTCGGATCTATTGTTATTCCATTATCATCTTGAGGTTCGAGTGGAGTGGCCCTGCACTCGAGTGCTTTAATGGTCCGGACTCGTTGTACGCACCTGATGGTAAATGCGGGGAAGAAGACGAGGAGGTGGGAGAGAGTCCCTGGGGCTTAACCCCACCCCCAGGTGGAGGTGCGCTCCCGTGGGCTGCACCCGGCATGGGTGGAAGACCCCCAAGGAAACTGGGACCGGGGGAATTCCCCATTCCCATTGGGTTCTCCCCTAAAGAGAGGAAAAGTCAATATAATGATACGAAGCGGAAAATTACGAGAAATATGATGTACGGTGATAATAATGCCACTTATAGACTATCCTTTCTTTTTTCCCCAGATGAGTAAGCGTTATGTTTATAACGACTAAAAAATATTATTGAACAAGATATCATTTTCCTAGGAATCATTACAGAGTCTATACTGAACAGTTGCCACTCAACCAGATTGCGATTAGGAAAAGAGTGAAACTTCCATAAATTCCTCATGACGACATAGAACCAATCATCATGTATAAAAGCTTCACCTCTGAAGGAACTCGTGCATTAACATTACATGTCTCTGTGAGATCGGGAGGGGGGAGGAATTTCATATTAAATCTGTCTTAGAAACATTGGGTAGATTTTTTAACCGAGTACTATACGATAATGCAGCTCTATTTTCAGGAAATACAGTGATAATAAAGCTGCATTATTGTATAATGCTCTGTTAAAAAATCCACCCTAGTTTTTTTTTTCTCTTTCCCACAAGATCAACTACCATCTGGATCCAGGAAAAGGGTGTGAGTGAGAAAGAAGCAGGTAGGCCTATTGCTCAATGTGGGGAATAGAACTAACCAAGGTGCGAGGCGTGAGGCGATGGCAACCTGAGACCCAGGGCCTGAGCGTGATGAGGTAGGAACTCGGGCCGGAACGATCTCAAAGGATCCAGATGAGGGGCACAGAGACCAAGGGCAGGCCAGGCTGCTGGATCCCAAAATGGAGGCCGGGGTCCTAATCCGAATGCTCGAAAATGTCCCTGCTGCCCTAGGAAACCCATACAATGGGAGAGGGAAAAACGAAAGACTGTGGTTAGGTTCTGAACTTCAGAGAACACTTTCAACGTTGCGTCTGTCTCACTCACACGCACACACACTACTAGTAGTAGAGTTGAAGGAATCTAGTAGAACGATTCCATTCGAGGAGACTCTCCGCAGAGACCTTACACTTTCAATTCCTGGCAATTCCCCCACTTCCCCTCATTCCAATCAAATTCATGTTTTATTTTTAAGAAAGTAAAAGCCTAAGCATCTGCTAGAGAAAAAAAGGAGCAGTGTTTCCACAGATGGTTCGTTCTGAACGAAACTGAAATTATTTTAGTTGCGAGGGCTTGCTTTCGTGATACTTGCTTCGCAGCAAATAAGGCCTATTGTATTGTTACGGAGGGGAAAGTGGGAGACGGACGGCATGAGAGGACGAAAGAAGCCAAGGAACGGCCGGGAATTGAACCCGGGCCTCCTGATTGCCGGTCAGGTGTGCTACCTATACACCACCGAACCCCGGACATTCAGTCGAGCCTCTCGATGCCATCCTCCTCCGTCACAGTATTTTAAAAACCGCGATACCACCATACAGGGCTCAAAATTGAGATGTTAATGGACAATTACAATTCCATTTCGATTTTGTAGTTGATGAACGAGCGTCGATTCCATGACAATTCCTATTCCGGGGAAACGCTGAACGTCGGAATCAGTCCGATGGCGCTATTAGAATTCTACCATTTCCCTTAACGTTGTCGTTACAGGCACCGGCTGGAAGCAGCAGGCGGGAGCAGAAACTCTTCACACATGCACACAGACCCAGGCATGAGGAAAAAAACCAAACACCCCAAGGATTGTTTCCACTGGAGGTTTATGTTGTAAACACGTCCTTCGTTGGAGCGGCGTTTTTATTATCCGACAAGGCCTCAAAGGCTGCCGGCCGGAACATATCGATTCTTAAGATAGTAAACAGTTTGGTAGGGGGGATCAGGGGATGTGTTTATTGCTGCGGGGCTTGACATGAGGTTAACGGAACCGGAGGGAGGGAGTGCGATGTTAGCACGTGCCATAAACTCATTCGGGTCGATGGATGAGCACGGACGCTTTCCCCCTCTGGGTGGTCAACGGACTTGATGGGCCTATCACTTGCACAAATCTTGGACCTATATTCTTTCTCGCTCGAGTTCTTTCTTCTTTTTTTTTCCCTTCACGGATTTTCTCTCTGTTGCGTTCCCAGAATCCCCTCGAGGAATTCAAGGAACTGTATACCGTTTATCCTTATGGTTTGCAAGAAATCGGGAGTCGCTGGATCATCATTGAGTTCACTGGCTGTTATGCATAGAACATTTGGAAAGCAGAAACTTACTGGTTTTGCTTCGTGGTTCCCGAGGACCGTCGACGGTGACCTTGATGGCCTTGAGGACCGTAGTCACGAGCATGGGGTTCGAGTTCAACGTGATTGTCAGATTGAGCGTTTTCCCTGCAATTAACGGGGAAAATTTTAGATGAATGTCGCTGAGGAATTCCACGATCAAAATGAGCTGCCTTCTGATGGCAAACATTTCAAAACCTTTCCGCAAAGGTCTATCTTTTGCACAAATACTTCAACGTTCAAAAATATACTTGCTTCGGGTAGAAAGTTTAGGCGATATTCCAAAGGCTTCCAGCTAAATGCGAATGTTCCGTCTGTGGCTCATTGAATGTCATACTTGGCGGAAAAATTGCATACTCCAGCTACGAGTCTATTGCTGCAAAAGCTCGTGAAAGCGCGAATCAACAAGACAACGAGGCCTCGAAAGGCAAGCATGCAGACAGGGCCGGCCTTAGGCATGTACCACAAGACCCCTCGTACAGGGCGCAAATTCAGCAGGGGCGCCAAAACGTGCCAGAATGAATGAGCAATAATGGATGCCACCCTCAGTTTCACTTCAGAAACTGGAAATGCCTTCCGTTTCGACGTCTCTTAGAAAGCTAATAATTGACCCTTCTCCCTTCGGGGGGATTGGGGGGGGGGGCGTTGGGAGTCTCTTTGAACAGGGCGTCGAAATAGCTAGGGCCGGTCCTGCATGCAGTTATCGTATTTTTCGGACGAGTTGCTGTAAGCTAAAATGACTTTGAAGCAGAAGAAATCTCACGTCAATGAAACTCACCCCGTCCACTGCGTCCGACGAATCGAAGGTCATTGAATTTGGCGACCTGGTTCTTCATGATGGACGTGGAATTCCGAAGCTCCGCACAATGATTCTCATCGTTGCCGGCCCGGATGGTGACGACGGTGCCGTCGTTGATGTCACTAAGAGCTACGACCTTGAAAGCCACCGGCAAGGTCTTGTTGGAGCGCCAGTGATTGGGCAAGACGGTACAGAGGATATTCGGACTCCCAGTCCGCACCAGTTCCCCCGGGTGATCCGAAAGAACTTCGTTCAAGGCCCGATCGTCCAATAGAAAATCGGGGATCTTCTCTCGGGATGCGAGCCCCAGGATTCCCATGTGGTGATGGGGAACTAAGCCCCCTCCGCCGCCACCACCGCTACCCCCACCCCCACTGGCCCCGCTCCCACTAGCGATGTCCGCCGAAGTCATAAGATGGGCGGCTGACATGTGCATACCTCGTGACACCCCGAACGGCAACTGCTCGCAGCTTAGCATGTAGAATGAGGCATTGTTTCACGATAAAATCACTTTTGAGAATGTTTCCAGGCAATAACTGTCGAAATACAAAAGGAAGCGCTTTAGTGTCAAAGTATTGTGAAGTATAATTGTACAACGTTTTAAAGTATTTAAATAACCTAGGACATTGGTACACTTCTTAAATTTCTTGTTAATAGTGATACGTTAGGTCAACGGCGTAACGTCGGGGAGGTCAGGGGGGCCACGTGCCCCCCCCACACACTTTTTCCATCCACGCTACGCTTACGTTGCTTTAGGTTACCGTACGCACAGGTATACGCAAACTAATTTATTAAATTTTTATAATGTTCAGTTATAATCATGTATGAAGGTCCCGATGAATTAAAGTATGGATCCTGAGCGCTCATGTTCCCATTGACAACGGGAAGGAGTAGGGCTCTTGCTGAGACTTCACTTTTGGCAGAACATGAACGCCGCTTGTGCGCTTCATCATGCCGCTTCCTTTCGATTCTAACACAGCCTTCACATTGATATTAGGATATGTTTCTTAATGAAGCAGTTCAGATACCACAGTACCATGACCCAACTAGTTAGTAAACCGAGCACCTCTCAAGATGTGGCACTCGACAATGCTCAAGTACATTGGGGTGATACTTGTATTTAATTCTCAAGTACTAATCACGCTCTAATTTCACTCGTCCTCAAGTTCTTTTCCCCATAGTGAAGTGTACTCAGGACTTGTTTCCGTTATTTTCTTTATAACCCAGAAATAACATGACATTTAACATAGGAAAAACCGTATGCCTGAGCACCTTCCTCCAGTCTCATTTTTAAATATTCGTCTCTTAATTAGAATGCTCTTTGTAAGGAGTCCATGCTTCGAAAACATACCAAATCTAAATCGTATTTATCGCCAAGCTCGAGAGAACTGGACCGCCCTCACAAAACTGTCGCATTCCCTCTGCTAGACCTCCGCATCGGTGATAGAAGAGAACAGGAGAGACGTATTTGTCTGCTGGGGCTTTCAATAGTTGGGAGACGGAGGAGAGGATGCTGTCATCGCTTTCAATTACCCTGGGAGTCGCATCCTCTTATTCCCTGACAGATGGCATTGCACTCGGGAAGGAAGGAATCCCCCGAGTATATTTTCCCCGAAAGCTCTTCCACCATTATTTTTTCACGAGCAGTTATATAATGAATGAGAGTCGGGATTCACAGTGTTGTCCCCACCCCCCACCCCCTCGACGCACAAAATATTTGAGCAAAAATGGGCATATTTTCAAACAGTATCCGTTTGTACGCGACGGATGGCGTTCAATTGGACGGAATTTGAAACACAGATGTCACGGCATGAGTCTTGATGTCTGACGGTGAAACACTTCACGATCACCGCGATGAACACTTGTTCAACGAGAGAGGAGGGGACGGAAGCAGCAGCAGTTCGAGGCGAGAGACTAGGAGTGGGGGGAGAGGAGAGTCTGCACTGTGGTTCCCCCCAGCCTGCATAATGGTTGGCCAGAACCCCGCGTTCGGGGCGGGCTCTCCCTCTCCAGTAGAGGCCTACCACACAGCCCAACACGTTCCCCCATCCCTACCTACCGGTTTGGCCGGTTTCTTGAATTCGCGTTCCACGAACTCTGCCCCCAAATACGAATACGTGAGAAGCGCATAGCAATGATGTTTCCTCTTGCTGGTATAATTGTGAGTTTCCTGATTGTCGCCGTCTTGTCACGCATTTGTTGCATCTATTTCTATTTTATATAAGCCCTGGGGTCCTGTATTTATATTTTCGTGTGAAACGGCTTGATGGTTGCTTCCAGTGTCACAGTTGCATCATCTCAGTAGTCATATAGGCTTCACTGCGCATGCTTATATGAACTGTTGACGTTTTCATTGTCGCTATCACGACCACCCTCCTTCCCTCGCTGTGTGCCTATCAGCATTTTCATATCAGCATCTGTCTGGCAGCCATATCTATACCATTGTTCTTTGCTCGACTTGTACGAGTGGAACGTGCTGATTGGGGCTGTATATCGACTATGTGCATAAGAAAAAACAAACTAGGTCGAGGGGGCGGGGGGGGGGGGGCATTGAGTTTTCCCCCTTCCTCCTCCGTTTCTCTTTTTTTATCTCCGCCGGTGCCTGACAAACATCGGACCCGAGTGGATTTTCATCTCATTCCAAAAATAGAGGGATCAAACCCTGCGAGGGGGGAGAGAGATGAACGTAATTCATTACTCTGTTCCAACAATAGGGCGGGGTGGGCTGAATCATTAGAGGACATCGGCTCCGTATAATGAGACTTACGAAAAGCGAGGGGGGAAAAAATCAGAGGGAAGCAGCAGCACATGCTGTCTGAATCAATTTTCCCTACTTATAAAAGCTCCACAGCTGTGGCCTCTCTATTATGGATCGCACCAGAAGAAAAAAAAATAGGAAGGTTTATTAATAAATTGGCTCCAACTGGCGCTGACGAGTCCGATTGCTTCACGTCTTCATCGGTATCGATGAATGAGATTCAGAAATCGAGTAAATGCCCGAAACTTTCAGAGGTGATTTGAGAGTACGGAAGAAAATGATATTGTGGAAATAATTTTAATAATAATAATAATGCGCAGCCTGAAAGATGGGCAGGACCGGGAAACCACAAGTTTCCTTGGGGTTACCTTGCGATGGAGTAAGGGAAGAATGACGGGGGAAACGCGACTCCTCTTCCTTCGGATGTCCAGATATAAATCCTCGGGATCCATGATGCGTGGCCGTGGAGCCCCCTCCAATATCCCCAGATATTATACTCGGGGCCACTTAATATATTCCGGACGGGGCCCCTTTCCGAGCTGATTTTAATAAAACCCTCGCCCCGATCAATCATGTTCGTCGTCGAGTGCGTTCCTCTCCGTGCAGCATCTGTTTAAGGCCCTTTTCCTCCATCCCTCTTCCTGTATATGTAATATCTCTGCTTGACATATCGGGTCTGGCGTTTGTTCCAGCAGAAAAGGTCTCGGGAACATCCATCAGGGCTGAGTGTCGTAGGGATGGCCCAAGTTCGGAACCGAATCGCACGATGAGATATAGCCAAGAAACTCGAGGCATATCAGAAATTTCGAGCACAAACCCTCCATTTCGTGAGTATTCTTGCCTCTTCCCTAGCCGAATGACGCGTGGCATCGAAGGGAGCGGATCACTCTTGGTTCTATCAAGATCCTTCCCCCCCTTCCTCTTCCCCTCCCCCAATGATGCCCTGTAAAAAAGTATCTGACTGACTCATGAGTGAAGTCCAAGCAAGTGAAGCAAGGAGAAGGACCCTCTCGAAACCAACGAGAAGTGGGACGATTCCAATCGGATAGGCTTATGAGAGGAATCCGTAAATCTACAAGGCATGTTTGACCAACGTCAATGAGAGAAATCTGATGAATCGATCGATTCTAAAGGCAACATCTGTGTGCTAGAACAAGCCATGCATTAATGATGGCCGGCAATTCCTCAACTTGATCTACTCAACAATTCAATTGATTTAAAATAGGAAAACTCGACGATTCCAATTTATGAGGGAAGCCCGAGAATTTAAACGATACCCATGTGGCAAATCTGGCTGTTTAATAATGCGAGCGGAGTAATACCCACGATGGAAGTCCAACGATATGATCAACATTAGACGAGTCCGAAAATAAAAAAAATTATCAGGAAAATTCCACAATCCGCATTGAATTTTCGTGGTTCGAGTACTACTCGAACCTCAACGAGTAATTCAACGAGCGCATTACGGAATTCTCGAGTGAAGTAGACTTCTCTCGGGAATTCACCCTATGAATATTCTTTATCGGCGGGGGGGAAAGGGTCCGAAAAATCCGTCAAAATCCTGGGAGGTCCTCCATCTCCCCTGGCGCCATGAGTTATATAGAGCGGGCAATAGAACGAGGACGTGGGGAATATATCGAGGGTATATGGAGTCCATGATGCTTTGGGGGAGAAGAGGCCCCGCTATAAAAGACTGTAGTAGGGAGTTCGTTAGAGATTCCCAGCACGAGTTGGGCCCACATTACCGCAAAGATGGAAGGGGGGAAGAAGAGAGTGGGTAAGAGAGAGAGAGAGAGAGAGATTCTTGCCCGACTCTATCTATCTTGGAGGCTGTGGAGCAGATTCGCGGTCTCCCCCTCCATGATGGGCTGGGAGTGGGCCACGCTCCCTGACTCACAATCAGCACTCCTTAAAGACGATCTGCCCTTCCTCATCCAACCCTTTATTTCTTCCGAGTCTTTTTCCTGCCTCCAGAGTCTTATTCTTCACGCGTTTGAACCGAGCGCCGATTTCCCCACGAGAGGTCCCGGTCATCCTAGTCTCTTCATTTCAATCATCGTTGGGAATTATCGACACGAGAAGTCACAGCTCCTTCAGCTCCTCTTCCAGCATCTTCATCGACTCGTCGATTCAGGCCACCATGCAATTCACGATCGTCGATTTTTAGGAGAGGTTCGCTCCCGTTCTTGATTCACCCATTCGCGATCATTCCCTTCGCTTATTCACCCCTTCCGTTCTCGTCTGCCACCATACCGATGCGACTCATCTCGGCACCGAAAAGGAATAATTTATCGGTTCGGTTTGTGCATCGGAATGATCTCGAGCTAAGTGCAAGTCTCGATCCCGTCAGGAATTCTAAGAAAAGGGTAGAGAACGTGCATCGCTTTATGCATCCGAAATGAAATGGGGTATCCTCTCCTCGGTTCATGAATGTTTTGGGAGGTACACGAGAAACACTACAAATTTCACGACAAACAGGGATGGAAGAAGCTCGGGTCAAGATCAAAGGAAAAGGAGAAGGAAAAGGGAAAAGAAGGGAATATGAGGCACTCCAGCTTGTCCCCCTTCATCGATTTCTTTCCTTCCTTCCTTTTCCTTGTCTTGTAACTTTTCATTGGCATCCCCCCGGAGTTTTGGCATCTCCCAGGACAAGCCAAACCAATTGAATTCGCATCATGCCTCCCATGCCAGGGATGTCGGATATCCTCACCTTTTTTTTC